CAAGACTGTCAAGAATCTTCTCTCGTTGTCTTCCTCTATCCCTCCTTCCACAGATCTTTCCAGTGGTCACAACATGTTCTATTTTCCCTCTTCTCATAACTTGGCCGAAAAAATGATGACTGTCTCTTTCTAATGTCTGTGATAAGTTGTCTTCGGGCTCCCGCCTCTTTCAAAACCTCTTGGTTGCTCTTTTTGGCTGTCCAAGGTACTCTAAGCATTCTTCTGTAAAACTACAACTCTGAAGCCTCAAGAAATTGTTTGGCTTGCCTAGTGATTGTCCAGGATTCACAGCCATATGTTAAAACTGGGTGTATGTAGCAAGGAAAAATTCTTTTTCTAACTCTCAATGACAAGGATATATTGCACAAGATGTTCCTCATTTTATAAAATGCAGTTTTTGCCTGTCCTATTCTGTTTCTTATCTCACTTATGCATCTTCCATCTGATATTATCCATGTGCCCAGATACTTAAATTTCTGTACTTGTCCCAAAATAACACCATTTACTTTTATTACACATTTAGGAATAATTTGTTTCTTCGATACCACCATTTCTTCTGTCTTCCCATTTTTCAAACTGAGGCCTTATTCCCTTTCATACACCCATATATTGCACAGAACACACATGGCTGATTCACCAGTTTTAAATTGGTGTACATGTGCCCCGTTCTAAGGCGTAGAATAATGACATGCTCTGGTCTGTTAATAATAGGGTCATTATCTTGTGCCAGTTTTGGTGGCTTTCGGATTGATTTGATTATTCTCTACTTCTGTTGATAAGAGACTGGTAGGTATTTCAAGTTGTTCTTCAGTTGCACCTTTCGTAACTAGTTTGTCAGCACTCTCATTTCCGGGAACTCCACAGTCGGATGGTATCCATTGCAAAGCTGCTTCGCCTATTGCCTAGTCTGTGCATCCGCAAGGAATACCCACGGTTTGTGAAATATACCCGGTATTTGGTAGACCCCATAATTGATCAAGACCTGAACCAGTCACATAATATGTCCTTTATTGTCCCATATTAAAATCGGTGAAAAACATATCACTCCTAGTACATTCTTGAAACTCACATACATAAGAGGGGAAATGAAAAACCTATACATTGTGTGGGTAATGCCAGAACATATTACCAACACACCTATACATTGTTTGGGTAAAGCCAGAAAATATTACCAACATATCTTTACATTGTGTGGATCATGCCAGAACATATTACCTTTGTGACACAGCTCAAGATTGAATCTTCTTGTTACAGAAAGAATGCTTTTTAGGTGCATGAAAGAATTGGATTCAGTTAGCGGCTGAAAAACTTGGCTTGTGTGGCTGTTGGTACATTGCTTATACTTTTTCTGTGTCAGCCCTTGAGAACTTTGAGAGGGGAAGGTGATCTCTCTAATACAGCCCAATTTTTCTAAGGAGAAATGGTCAAGCGGTTTGCCTCGAACTAACGAACTTTATTTTCAAACGGTCCCAAATTATGCACGCAGGTTTATTTTACATTCGGCCCCTCCAAACATTAATCTTTAATTTTGCATTTTTTAAAAATTTGTATTAGTTTTTTTCTTTCTTTAGGCCTTGGTTTCGTTTCACGGATGCCTCGTCCAGTTCACAAGTGTAGTTTTTACGGAAATCCTTGAGGGAATCGTCGTTAGAGTTATTCTTGTTTTGTGCGACGCTTTCAGCAGGCGGCTAGCCTGTGATCAAGTAACTAAAGAACAACCTGATTTACCAGTCTTATCAACAGAAGTAGAGAATCATCAAATCAAACTGTGATCAAATGCAAGATTGGCATGGCGGCACTGAAGACAATGGTGGCGACTCACATGGAACAGAGATTATTGGTTTTATTGTTTAACCATTTGGTCCTTTCTGTAATCGATTATGGCCTAGGAATATTAACCCTATCTACTTCACAGTGTACAAAGCATGAAAGGATTCAAAATGAAGGAATGAGAATCGTCTTGGGTTGCACAAGGGACATCCCAATTAGAACAATGAGGTAAATACTTGGGCTGACATCGGTACAGTCTAGACTGTCACTGAGGCCTATATTCGAGTTACCAATGAAGAAAGGCATCCGCTGCACGGTAATTTGAACGATTTGAGAAAAGACCGATTGAAGAGAGGAGAGTCATGGATGGCACTAGCTGAAGATAACATCGAGACGGCGGCCTCAGTCAAACAAATACACACGGGGGAGATCGACACGAACACATACAACAGCAGTTTCCATCAGGTCATTATTATTTTAGGAAGAAAATGTAGAGAGTGGTGTAACGGTGTGGCATAATTAGAGGTACGACAACTGATATATGGAAAGACTGGACTAGATGATGCAGTAGTGTACACCGATGGTTCTGTTCATCGGGTTGTAAGATCTGGCTGGGGATTTTCAGCTTCAATTAAGGGACGGAGAACAAACGGAGCTTTTTTATCTACAACTTTAAGCGTAAGGATGGAAGTGGAGGCAGCTGCAGAGCATTGCAGCTCTGATTTGAATAGCAGAAAAGAAAGTTACCAGAGAAATGATTGTGTCTGATTCGGCATTGCGGAAGGTTCAAAATGGACTAATATGGCATGAGTGGATACCATGTATCAGTACGCCAACATTGCAGGGAATCATGTGGTTTATACTGTCCGGGAGATGAAAGATTGCGAGGGAATGAAAGAGCACATTTTCTGGCTACACATGCGAAAGCTACGGGAACACTCGTACTGGACAAGGGAGATATTCTGAAGACCATATATGAATGACTTTAGGCAGAAGACACGAGATTAGAATAAGTAACATGGGTAAGAAAGTGTAAACGAGGAATAAGGTTTGGATCCGGCAAGGAGGGACGGATGAGAGAAAGAGATCAGCGTGTGTATAATCCGTGCGGGGACAGGTAGAATCTACACCTTACGTCATTTGTTGCGGGAGACAAAGCATTTATGGGTATGCCCGATGTGTTACAATGTCGATTCTTAAATAAGTAATCAGTAATCTACGGAGAAATACCGAGCTGTCTGGTATAACCCGATTCAGTGAAGGCGATCCTCTCGTCTCCTGCTTTAAATTTAATACAATCCCTTTCTAGTGATCTTTTAGTGCAACAGAAAGGACATTAACAACCCCAGTAAACAAGGAACATTAATAAACTGGTAAAACTAATTTTACTGAATCAAAAGGTGAAGAGAAGACGCCGGCGTTGGATAAGACACACGTTGGGAAAACCTGAGAACAAGTATAAGGGCTTTAGCACTGGAACCCACAGGGAAATGTACATTGAGGTGGACTAAAACACAAAGAGCAGGGAAGTTAAAAATGTGGAGAGGGGATGGAGTGAGCTATATGTTAAAGCAAAGGATACGGCAACATGGTTTGAACTGGTTTCGGGCCTATGATCCATTTGGGGAGGGGGAATTCGGGGGTTAAAATGACAGAAGAAGAAGACGAAATAACAATCCTAGTCCGATAGATGCAAGCCATCTTGAGGACAAGACTACATGAACTCTAATAAGCCCGCTTAAAAGTTAGCCATCTTGAGAATTCACATTTTGTTCGTCTTCCGTTTATTGCTAGATAAATGCCTTACCACACGACCTTATTGGAATGGAGCAGCGATAGCGTATTGGCTAGACAGGCCTGAAAGTCTAAAGTTCGAATCCATATCGAATCAGATTATTTTCAAAATGTACCTTGCCTACCAGGTCGACATAGAACATTTCCTGTAAACTAAAGATGTCCGGCATGATATTCTTCTTTGCGATCATCTGCTGTAAACTCCGGCGGAAAGATCTGGTTGTTCGTCCACCTCTGAACGATAGTATTGTTCCAAAACCTGAGTGTTGCACATCCGTTTTACAGATCTGACTTATGTGTGTGCCCATTGTTCTTTCTGTGCCTCTCAGGCAGATGCACTCTGACTTTGAATTAAGCCCGGTCCAATTAGTCGACTCTTATTACGGTTCGGATGAGAATCACCCGGGTGCAAATCCCAGAAACCCCGTTCAACCGTTAGGTTTTATTAGGGCTCCCGACAGCAGCCAGGGTGGGGCTTTAAAAGCGAATGTGTAGAAAAGCAAAATTCACGATTGCAAACCTGGAAAATAAAAACAGCAGAGACTATTGAAATGACTGAAAGAAGGAAAATCAAATTAATGCAGCTAGCTGACACAAGATGAGGAGGAAAGGGTATCAATGAAGTTCGAGTATTGGATCAGCTAGCCTCTCTCTTATAGCATAAGACAGTCTCAACCGGCGCAAAGAAACATCTCCTACAAGACATATTCATTCCCATTCTATGCTACCAGTGTCATACATGGTCGCTTACAACAAACCAAAACAGAAAATTAGTAACCATGTAAGTGAGATGTCTGAGAAGGGCTGCCGGAGTGACCAGAAGAGACAGAATCAGAAATGAAGCGATAAGTAAAAAAAAAAAAAAAATCAGCACAAAAACAATCCTAAACTACACAAGAAGACAGCTGATCAAATGGTATGCTCACTTAGAGAGTATGCCTTGTGAGGGAATACCAGACAAGACATACACCACCCGACCGTGAAGAATGGCAGTAATACGATGTGTCTGTGGTCGTGGCGGCACAACCGAACAAGTAAGTTGAATGTTGAATTAAGAATCGACATCACAGCACTCAACAAGATGCATTTGCCTTTAGGTGTATTGGGCCACGGCTGACTCTATAGTCAAAAGATGGGCGTGATTGGGCAAAGGCCTATAGGGCTAGAGCTATATTTTATAGACTTTTTGCCACTTAGGGGTGATGTGGTCAGCATCACACAGACCACCTTTACTTCCCATGACTAAAGAACAAGTAGTAGAACTTTATATCGCCCTTGACACCAGAAGCGGCGAAAGGAGAAGTAAAGAAGAAGTAGTGGCTGTAGAAAGTAAACAAAGTTGCGAAAATAGATAGTTACGAATCACACGTGCGGAAGTGGATGTTAGTATTGTTGACAATATACGGTTCCTGGAAGAAAATCATTATCGTTGTGAAATGGCAGTGGAGATAGAATCTGCTGAGTGAGTAAAGTACTGCAGACTGTTTAACCAGCATTCTTGTTTGTCTTTAACAATTAATGTTAACACTACAGTAATCACATGCCAGGCTACGTAGATCTGTGCATATACTTTTGTCATTCTCATTGTGGGATCAACAACTGCAAACAACCTGTTTTCGACAAGATTACAATTTGAAGCAAGTTTAAGTTTAACTTTTTTTTTTTTAGTTTCAGGTTTTAGTGTTGGTGGGGAAATGTGCATTACAACGGTAATCGGGACATCTGGAGGTGTGGATATTTATAAGAATAGGTCGTTTTTCATGGACGGGTCACATGAAAACATTTTGTGTGTAGTGTGTGACAGTTCTGAGTAGTTCAAGCAAGTTACAAGTTACTAAGTTGTTAGTAGTGTTGTAGTGTGTAACTGTGTAAGTGTAACTGTCAGTACTAGTAGCGTAGTGCCGTAGTAGTCTTTCTCTATGATCTATCTTATCACCATTTCAATTTCATAATTGTTTTCTACTTGAACTTCAAAGTCAAAGATTTTTTAAAGTTTTAATTGTGTGAGTCAGTGTTTTAAAGTAAAGACAGTAAAGCTGTTAGGACTGCTTAAGCCACTTAGGGTTTCCTGACCAACCAGTGAGCTGGAATCAATCCACTGCTGGACTAGTTCTCTTGTGGACAACATTATGTTTTTATTTAATACAAAAATACTCAAGGATGTTGTTTTATTTGCAGTATTAAATAGAAGTGGATTGGAGGGCTAATTCAGAGTACTTGGTCAGTGTATGTATATTACAGCTTTTTATGAAGTTAAAATGGGCTATTGAAATTCTGCACAGCTAACAACAGGATTGCTGTGAAATTGGAAGTTTCCTGGCCATGGCGCTACTTGAGTGTACACTGTGTGTCTGAGTTGCTGTTTGGGTTGTGTAATGTACCCATTTCCTTTTGCAGTTTATTTGTAGCAAAACTATCTGTGAACAGATTTTTGAAGGATGCTGATTATATATAATAAACAGTGAAAAAGCTCTGATTCGGTTTGTTTTATTTGGAGATTGTTCTTGCAACCTCCAGAACTGAACTGCAGAAGCCTGTACATCTAATCCCTAGTTAATAGTTCTGGTATGAAAGCTTCACCCTTTTGTCATGTTTTATATTTGCATATTGTCTTCTTTTTTTTTTCAATTTTGCAAGATAATTTATATAGACTCCCGTAAGTTTTTAAATTTTTTTTTTGCAATGGTTCAGCAGATGGTAGGAAGCCTTTAGTTGTTTTCTTTTGGTGATTTGGGAGATGGCTTGTACAATTGTTTCTCTCCTGGAGATGACTTGGGGAAAGTTTGCAGAATGCCTTGTGCAACCTTGGCAAAGACAGCTCTGCTGTGGATGGCAGATGGATAAATGAGACTTGGATGACCTAAGGAAACCTGGAGAAGAACTGTACAGAGGGGAAATGAAGGAATGTGAACTGACGTAGGATACAATTTGCAGAAAAGCTGACCAACAGCAGTGGTGATCGCTTGTGAATGCTGACTGCCTTATCTGTCATCAGTGACATGGGGAGAATATAGTTAGTTGTCTATGGGTCATGTAGCAGCCTTCCTTAGCCATCTGCAGTGATATGCATGGTAGGTTTGCTGTTACACACTTTTCTTAAGGCATAGGGTCCCAGTAACACACATAATATTACACATTTAGCTAAACTTTACTGTTAGTAGATTCTTTATTATGCTTGAGACTATGTACATGAGTAATTTTAGGTAACTGTGTGTGTGTGAGTGTGTGTGCATTTTGGTCTTCAGTTTTGTAAGCTGAATGCACTGTTTGGCTAGTACCTATTACATAGGGTGACTAAAGGTCCAACTTTGACCAGGGAAGTCCCGTGTTTTAAGTGCACCCTGGCCGTTCCCTCAGTACCCAGAACCCATTTTATACAAAACTAGAAGTAAGCTTGAGAATAGAACATATCTTTATAGTTATATATGTATAAGCCTTATTATATTTCATAGCTTTAAATACTTTTTTATAATAATACATTGGAGAATAATCTTTCTGTTGGGGGGGGGGGGGGGGGGGTGTAGAGTTGAAACTGACTTGCTTAGGATGTCCAGTTGTCAGCTCAAAATATTAGTGGGATGTGCTGTTTTATGCTAAAGATATTATGGTCACCACGTTATACACAAAATTGTGCTTATCAGAGGCCGATATATTCTGTGGGAATGTTTGTCCCACTGTATACCACTTCTTTTTCTTTTGTTGTCTCACTGATACCAGGTTGTAGCCCAGTGTCGCGGTTTTCTGTATTTGTTTTGCGATTCTTGGGTGGCTTTGGGATGGATTTGTTCATCTTTTTTGCAGGTTTCGGCTACACCATTTGCCCGACTGCATTTTCACTAGATAGTTGAACCATTTCATTCTTTGTTGTCAATAAAATCCAGACATAGTCTTATTCCAACTTTCTCTCTGATGCTTTATAGAACTACAGATAAGAAAGAGGTGGTCAGTGTTCTTTAGAAAACATGATGTCTATGCTGCTCGACAGGGCACATGATGATAATGAAGTTTGTCCCTATCATTTTTTAATGTTATATTCAACAGTGTGGTTCGTCTAATTGAGCAGTACCTGAAGGAGAATAATTTACTGAGGACCCTATCATGCCTGCAGGTAAATTACGTAAATGACTGTATTAGTTTTTGTTTGTGTGTTGTATTTATATTTTAGAGGCTTCATGACACAGTGATTGCTTGCCTGGTGAAACAGCGGTCCCTGTTCAGTCAAAGTGGCAGGGTTTGGTTTCAACCAGGACTTTTGTTTCTAGAATAAAAAGTTACTGGCACTCACCACACAGTGTAAAAAAGTGTAGGTATTTACCACTCAGTGTCTGTTGCACTGACGCTGAAGCTAAAGGTGCCAGTACTGTGTACCTTTGGATACCACATAGAAAGGGGAAAAAAAAGCATTAGTTCCAACCAGGACAGCTGGGGGTTGGATTGATTGTTCCAGCCACAACAAATGTTTACCAGATAATGTCCAGAATTTTATGAGAAGGAAAGGCCATGACATGCCAGTCCATATTATTTATCGTGGCTTAGACTGTGGATATTTAACACCTTACACCCCAACTGCAGTATCTGCTGTAGGGCGACATGTTGTTTGCCTTACATTTCTAGGTGAGGTCATGGGGAACAGCAAGGGTCATCTACTGAAAAGGGTTAACTCCTGGAGGGCACAGACAGAAGTCATGTTCAGAACTGTTTGTGTTACTGACAAGACAGCGTATAGTGAGGAATGGGTTACAGTGCCGCCCAACAAAACAGACTTTCACAAAGTGATAGTTTCCTTGGACCGATGGTTTCGGGAGTGGATAGCTAGTCAAACAAAGACTTTGATGCAAGAGCCGATCAATGAAAATTCACAAGCTTTGCTTGGTAAACTTTGATCAGGAACAGATCGTGGATTTTCTGTCCAGGATATTCTGGTGTGGGGGGTCATGAGCAAGCTGATAGATTGGTTGCTGTTGCTCCTCTGGGTGGTGAGCGAGCTACATTGTGATGAAGCGCAAGTGGTGAAGGCTGTCTGGGATCAAATGGACAGAACAACAGAACAGACCAAGCATCCATAGATTGATAGACTAATTCAGCGAGGGGTAGAGCAGAAAGCCAGACTTTTCATCTGGCTGCAACAGGTACTATTAGCATGTTGACTCTTCATTGGCTACTGAAAAAGAAGACAGGTCATGTGTGAGAATGTCCTGAGTGCATAGATGTCATTTCTTCATTCATTCACATTTAAGAAGAGTAATGCCTCACATTTGAGAAGACCTTTTATTTGAGAATAATAAAACCTGAGAAATGTTATATCTTACTTTTGAGAAGAGTAATGTCTTTTTTATATATGAGAAGTGTAGTGTTTTATTATGGAGAAAATTGTCACATATTTGAGAAGTGTATGCCTTACATTTGAGAAGATTAATATTTGCTGTTTCCTAAAAATTTTTTTTAACCAGGAGGAGAGTGGTATTTCCCTGAACACTGTCGAATCTGTGGACAGTTTTATCTCGGACATCACTGCTGGCCACTGGGACAGTGTCCTTCAAGCTATCCAAACACTGAAGCTGCCAGATAATACTTTAGTTGACCTTTATGGCCAGGTAGGATGGCATTTACATCTTCCACAGTTACATTTCCATTTAGTCATTTTATGGAAATTATTGCACAGGAACAAAAGCAGTCTGGCATTAAGGTCAAGGATTATATACCTTAAAAGTGTAAAGATAGGAAACTGTTTTGCAACAGTACTAAGGTCAAGAAGTGGATGAACAACCAGAACTTTCCGTCAAAGTTTACAGTCGTTGAATGCCAAGAAGGAAAAAAAAAGCAATCAGATTATAAGAACTCACTCGACAATGTGATAATGCAGACGACATCTATTGGAAGAGAAAATTATGACTAGGTCAGAGAGGTTTGGTAACATTGTCTTTTATGAACAGTTGGCAAAATCTGTTGTTATTAGGACAATCTTTCTTTCAGTTTAATTTGTGGTGCCATCTGTTCCCTGTGTGGGATCTAAGAGTCCATTTTTGGAGAAACAAGAATAGATGCCTCTTGCCAAGCATGTCATAAAAGGTGACTAATTAAGGGTTTGCAGAAATCGGATTTGTTGGGCAGAAATGCGCAAACCACAATAGACCGTGTCAGCTGCTAGTTTAAAATCAAACATGGAGGATGAAGAAAGGCCATACATGATAGCGTTTGCTTCTTGACAGCTGTATTGAGACATTTTTAAAAAATTTTTTTTTTTAACGTATCCAGAAACCATGAGTTGTAAACCTTTTGGCTCGGTACTGTGGATATCGCAACCCTTCGGCATTGATTCCATTATAGGTACCGTTAATCTGGGAGAAATTTGGCTTTTCTGCCTAACCCCGGGAGTGAACCCGGACCACAAGGAGCTCGTCACCCGGCCACCGCGAAAGTCAGGTTTAACCAACTTCGCTAGAGAGCCGGGCGTCTTGAGACATCAGTCATCGTTCAGGAGGGAATGAAGATAACAGTAGTCTTGCAGCACACACTGCCACAGGATGTTATGTGTTTGGCTATCTGAACCATGAAATGTTGCATGAGGTGTTCAGTTCCTTTCCTCTCCTGTTGTTCTAGACAGATACCAGTAAATTATGGAAATTACCATATTTTTCAGTGTATAAAACAATACATTTCCTCAGATTTGTTTTACATTTAAAATCGGGAGCCCTCTTTCACACTGAATGTGATTAAAATATTTATTTTTAAATATTGTGCTAAAACAAAACAAAAAGGGTCATCTTATACTAGTAAAATATCATATTTTGAGGCTGGGTTGGGCTAGCCTCAGAGCCTGATTAGAGAAATATACTGTCACTTCTAGGATTGGACCCAGTGAACGAATTTAGTCACTTTATTACATTTACTTATTATTTTTGGGTCTATGAATATTTTTTGGCGAAATGTTTTTCAGATTGTTTTGGAACTGATCGAACTACGAGAGCTTGGTGCTGCCAGATCACTGCTTAGACAGACGGATCCCATGATTATGATGAAACATAGCCAGCCTGACAGATACATCCATCTGGAAAATATGCTGGCCAGGTCATATTTTGATCCCCGTGAGGTAGGTCATAACTTTGTTTAAACAGATGTGGTTTCAAAGGAGCATACTCAATAATTTTGTTGTCGATGCAGATCAGAATTTACAACTATTCCCATCTGAAATTGATTTCTCTCATTTCTAATTGCTTGGATATAAAAAAAAAAAAAATTCACACAGAATAAAACTAATGGTTTTTTGGATGCTGAAGCTATACAGATCATAATGTATGTGATACTCTTTCCTCTGTTTTTAAAGTTAAGTATATTTGTTTTGTTCTTAATATACTAGTTTCTCGGGAGTGTATCTATAATAATGCAATATTTTATTATTCTAGGCCTACCCTGAAGGACAGACAAAGGAAAAAAGAAGAGCAGCTATAGCACAAGCTCTTGCCGGGGAAGTGAATGTGGTCCCTCCATCGAGACTGTTGGCTCTGCTTGGACAGTCACTGAAGTGGCAACAACATCAGGGACTGCTACCTCCAGGTGAGTGTACATCCTTGTCTGTTCTCTTGGTCAAGTCTTGATGGTTTCTACCTCCAGGTGAGTGTACATCCTTGTCTTGTTCTCTTGGTCAAGTCTTGATGGTTTCTACCACCAGGTGAGTGTACATCCTTGTCTGTTCTCTTGGTCAAGTCTTGATGGTTTCTACCACCAGGTGAGTGTACATCCTTGTCTGTTCTCTTGGTCAAGTCTTGATGGTTTCTACCACCAGGTGAGTGTACATCCTTGTCTGTTCTCTTGGTCAAGTCTTGATGGTTTCTACCACCAGGTGAGTGTACATCCTTGTCTGTTCTCTTGGTCAAGTCTTGATGGTTTCTACCACCAGGTGAGTGTACATCCTTGTCTGTTCTCTTGGCCAAGTCTTGATGGTTTCTACCAATAGGTGAGTGTACATCCTTGTCTGTTCTCTTGGTCAAGTCTTGATGGTTTCTACCTCCAGGTGAATGTACATCCTTGCCTGTTCTCTTGCTCGTCTTGATGCCTTCTACTACCAGGTGAGTATACACATTCTTGTCTTGATGTTCTATACTTTATATTCTATATCACAGAGTGCTCATCCTTGACTGATTCTCATCACAGTGTATTCAGTTTTGATGCTACTAAAAGACTTTCAGTGAGCTTTTTATCTTACCATAATGTCCCCAAAACCTAATAGTTAGCTCATTCACTAGGTGTTGATCAGCATTCATTGACGTTGAGGGAAAAACAATATAGATATGACAAAATATGATGACCACCTCTTGGTTGTGTGTGTGTGTGCCTTGGTCACTGCATTTACTTGTTTGACTAAAACCTGGAATTTAGTAAGCTGTGAGGGGGATCCAGTCCAAAGTGCATAGACAGTAGAGGGAGTTTGTACAGATGTTAAGGCTGTCAGTATCATGTTTGTGCCCCACAATATGGGAGTTGTGATCAGGGATAGAACAGATATTTTAGCGAAGTTACCACGGCATTCAGTAGAACATGAAATCATACTGATATCCTAAATCAGACCAAGGGTTCAGAAAGTTATCTGAATTGTACCGCTTGTGCTGAGCTACTAAAACTGTGAGTAAACCTGGGTGTTGCTGGTGGTGAATATGTGTGTAGCAGGAGATATCTTATTACCTAGCACAACTGTGGAACTTTCAGTTGCTGTATCATGAGGTTGTGATGTAAGCACCTGTGGATGTCACACCTGCAGTGAGATAATCTGTGACTAAGTTATCAGGTGTAGGTGATCAGGTTTCTCCATGGCTGTGGTTTTACAGCACCAGTAAATAAAGTAAACCTTCTCCTCGACTTAGACCATCCGCACTTATGACCAGAATAAGTGAAAAGATTTATTAAAAAATAGCCAATAAAGAAAGATAACTATATTGGGAGGGTCAAAAGCTCAAGAAACTGATGCAATAGAGCATATATTATATATTTTTCACATTATATTCAATAATTATATATGCATTGATTGAAATTGTGCATTTTATGCACAATTTGTATAACCTTTTTGAATGAGAATTACATTGAAAGATATAAATTCAACTTAGGATCTGTCAGTTGAAACCAAACTCTGTCATAAGTTAAAGAGACCCTGTATGTTGTATAACTCTCCTATAATTATTACAGTTATACCAAAAATTAATACTGTTTAGAAATGTCCTGTGACGTAATCTGGGGTAGGATATTAATAAAGCACCGGTCTGCATGACTAATTCTTAACCTTTTGAAAACAAGTTTGTTCGTTCAGCAGTGTGTATTGACTTCTGTGCATGTCCTGAATCAAGAATTGTCAGCTATTTAGTTGTTTCCAGGTGCCTTTCCCTGGTCTAACTTGAGCTGACTTTCTGCAGGTACCACAATCGATGTGTTCAGAGGTAAAGCTGCTGTTAAAGAACAGGAAGATGAGAAATATCCCACACAAATGAGCAAACAAATAAAGGTAATAAATCTAGTCTTTCATGTAAGCCATTGATACTGCGGTACAGACAAATGCACCTGCAGCAAAGATCTGTGGCTTAGATCTTTTCTAATGATTAACAGTTACTGATTTGAGAATTGATATCATAACACACAGGGTATCTGTTGACATAGTGCATTTAATGGTACTATTGCTGGAACTAGTACATGCAATGATATTTTTGCTGGAACTAGTACACGCAATGATATTGTTGCTGGAACTAGTACATGCAATGATATTTTTGCTGGAACTAGTACATACAATGAAACTATTGCTAGAACTAGTACATGCAATGATACTATTGCTGGAACTAGTAAATGAATGATATTATTGCATGAAATAGTACATGTAATGATATTATTGCTGGAACTAGTACGTGAAGTGAGATTATTGCTTGAAATAGTACATGTAATGATATTATTGCTGGAACTAGTACGTGAAGTGAGATTATTGCTTGAAATAGTACATGTAATGATATTATTATTGCTGGAACCAGTCCATGCTATGATATTATTATTGCTGAAACCAGTACATGCAATAATACTGTTGCTGGAACCAGTACATGCAATGATAATAATATTGCTGAAACTAGTACATGCAATGATATTACTATTGCTGGAACTAGTACATGCAATGATATTAATATTGCTGGAACTAGTACATGCAATGATATTACTATTGCTGGAACTAGTACATGCAATGATATTAATATTGCTGGAACTAGTACATGCAATGATATTACTATTGCTGAAACCAGTACATGCAATAATATTATAATTGCTGGAACCAGTACATGCAATAATATTATTGCTGGAACCAGTACATGCAATGATAATACTATTGCTGGAACTAGTACATGCAATGATATTATTGCTGGAACAAGTACATGTATTGATATTATTGCTGGAACAAGTACATGTATTGATACTATAGCCATCACTAGTAGATGTAATAATGATACTGTTATGAACATAATGCATGTAATATTATTGTTGGAAATAATGCCTGTACTGATGCTATAGCTGGAACTAGTACATGTAATGATGCTATAGCTGGAACTAGTACATGTAATGATGCAATAGCTGGAACTAGTACATGTAATGATGCTATAGCTGGAACTAGTACATGTAATGATGCTATAGCTGGAACTAGTACATGTAATGATGCTATAGCTGGAACTAGTACATGTAATGATGCTATAGCTGGAACTAGTACATGTAATGATGCTATAGCTGGAACTAGTACATGTAATGATGCTATAGCTGGAACTAGTACATGTAATGATGCTACAGCTGGAACTAGTACATGTAATGATGCTATAGCTGGAACTAGTACATGTAATGATGCTATAGCTGGAACTAGTACCTGTAATGATGCTATAGCTGGAACTAGTACCTGTAATGATGCTATAGCTGGAACTAGTACATGTAATATGCTATTTTTGATATTAATGCATGTAAGGATACCTTTGCTGGCACTAGTGCACATTTGGATACATCTGGTGTTCTGTGTCATTCTATCTTGTGACAGTTTGGTGTGAAGGCTCACGTGGAATGTGCCAGATTCTCTCCTGATGGCCAGTACTTGGTGACTGGATCCGTGGATGGTTTTGTGGAAGTGTGGAACTTCACGACTGGGAAGATCAGGAAGGATTTGAGATACCAGGCTCAGGTATGTGCTGTATGGTATTCTGTCTTGTGAGTGTTGTTTAGTTTTAGGCAGGGAATTTGAAGATATTTTGGATATCGTATAGCGGTGTGTTAGTAATAAGAAGGTAAGGTATGCATTTGTTGTATAGTGTTATGTTGGTGACATAAAGGAGCATTGTATCTGATGCACAAGCAGATATGTTTAAAAAAAAATATTAAAAATAGAATACCAGTGTAAACAAATAGACAGTTTTATCATTTAACGTGTATGTATGTGTATATATATATATATATATATATATATATATATATATATATATATATATATATATATATATATATATATATATATACATACATACAAGGACTGTACCGAATATTCACTTCGTATTCGCTTCGAGGCCGAATAGTAGACCTAATAACTATTAGGCCGAATAGTTGCGGTCGGGCAGATTACGAATAGTGGTTACCTTACACCCATTTCTAGACTGGTGGAAAAAAAAATCACGATTTCCCGCCTTGGTTCATACTGTCAAGTGTTATCTTTGTGCACCGCCTACGAGTGTACCAAATGAACGTCTGTTTAGTACAGCTGGAAATACCTCCAATGAGACAAGAAGCTGCCTTAATGCTGACAACATGGAACGATTTTATAAAATGAAGAACATATATGGCCATATATCTTTGTCATTGAAGGTTAGAAAAATAATTCTTGCTTGCTACATACATCCATTTTTAACATATGGCTGTGAGTCCTGGACAATCGGTAGGCAGGCCAAACAATTTCTTGAGGCCTCAGAGATGTGGTTTTACAGAACAATGCTTAAAATACCTTGGACAGCCCCCCAAAAAAAAACGTTTTGAAAGAGGCGGGAGCCCGAAGACAACTATTTACAGACATCAGAAGGAGACAGTCATAATTTTTCTGCCATGTTATAAGATGAGGGAAAATGGAACATGTAGTGATATGTGGAAGGAGGGATAGAGGAAGACAACGAGAGAAGATTCTTGAAGTCTTGTTGCATGGCATGGAGGTGTGTCAGCATACGAACTAATACATGCTGCAGGAGATCGCAGATTGTGGCGAGGCATAATTACCCATGCCAGTCGACAAAGCACCTGATGATGATGATTCACTATTCGTATTTGTATTCGGCCGAATAGTTGGTCCAGCTATTTGTATTCGGCCGAATAGTGAAAATCACTATTCGGTACAGCCCTAATGCATACATACACACACACATGTGTGTGTGTGTATATATATATATATATACACATACACACACACACTCACAAATACACCACTTCAGTTTATTTAATTAAAATAACTCTAGTTTAACCAGTTTAATCAATTAAAAATATAAATTAATTATTTTATTGTACTTAATTAAAAGAGATGCAGTTTAACTATGTATGTTTAGGTATTATGAACATCATCAAATTTAAGAGTAAGTAATAATTTTTATGCCAGTGGTGGGTGCATTAGACTCATGTTCCTAGACCTGTATTTTTTTTATACACCAATCGGCAATCACAACAGTCACATTTAATTCTCAGGACATTACCTGACACACATTTTAGGTTGGGCGGAAATTAGGAGCCGAGGGCAGTTTTGAAAAAAAAAAAATCTTGAACACTAGACCTTCAGAACAGCAGATGGCATCTCCAACAACTCTGCCATGGCTTCCCAACATGGCAGTAATATTTTTAAAAAATCATAACTAGCATTATTTCCATAATGTAATACTGTTGAAAGTTTATTTATCTTGATATTCTCTGTTGATTGGACAGATAATTCATATGTTGAAAGTTTAATTCAGCCTGTCGATTGGACAGATAATTCATATGTTGAAAGTCTAATTCAGCCTGTTGATTAGACAGAATCCATATTTTGAAAGTCTAATTCGGGGGGGGGGGGGGGGGGGGGGGGGGGGGTTCTGGAAGTGGAAGATGTTCAGCACTGAGTGGACTTTCAATCACAAGGCAGCTAGCACTGTTAGCGTGTAAACTCTCTGTTGGCTGCTGTAGAAGGGGATGGGGCATGTATGGGAATGTCCAGAGTGCAGTGTTGCCTGTTCTTGGTTGATTGATTGATTCATTTATCTTGAAATTGTATAATAGCAGGCTCAGATTGGATCTGCATCATGGGTTTTTGTTGTTGTTTTTTTTTTAAATTTAATTTTTTATTTCATGTATTTTCCCCAGGACAATTTTATGATGATGGATGAAGCCATCTTGTGCATGTGCTTCAGTCGGGACTCTGAGATGTTGGCCACTGGTGCCCAGGATGGAAAGATTAAGGTACTGCAACAGTATTGGAGTAGAGAATTACCAGATGTCAACTGGCAGAAAGTTCTGGCTGTTTATCCATTTTAGGGCTTTAGTCTTGCTCCAGAACTTGAGTTTTGCATGCACATCAGTTTTACAGATCTGGCTTATTGATATGCAGACTGTTGGTTTCTTGCCTATCAGGCAAATGCACTCCAACTTCTTAGGAATCACCCATAATTAGTCAGATCTGTTCTGCCTCTACACACCCCCCCCCCTCCCCCCTCCTATTGTGGCCCTGGAGCCCACCCAGGTTTAACTAGATCTCTAAAAGCGGACTTTTCATAGTTTTGATGACATAATTTTCGGTCCGTTGGGAGCTGCAGTAGATTAGTGGCCACATACTTGCCTGCCAGCCCAAAATTCCTGAGTTTGAATCCACATCAGGGTGGATTTGATTAGAGTGGACACCGGGTAATGTACAGGGATGTAAAAGCAGCCAACATAACGCAGACATCACCCAACGAATGTTGATTGGTGAGTGCAGATTTGAGTCTAGCATCATATTCTTTATGCAGCTGTGGTGTAAAAAGAATTCTTTACTTTTTATTGGTCGATCTCTCTCTCCCTGTCACACACACCCACATTTGTAAGATTAAACAAATATATATAAATAAGTAATGATACCAAATGCCTATGTATTACTTGGACTCTTGAAGCAGATACGAGCAATAAACCCCCAGACAGGTCATAAGAGGGGACTCAATGTGAGGTAAGAGGTTGGGTTGGCCACCTCATCTCATAAAACTAGCCACAAAAACCAACTAACATGATTTAGTTAAAGACCTATGCTCCATTAAGGAATAAAGGGCAAACGAACAGGAATGAACCAAGGAAGAATAGGCACTAAACTTTGTAACTTATTTCCTTTTATTACTTTTTGTGTGTGTAGATATAGTAAAGCTGTTAGCTCAGACCTACAGCCACCAAATATAATTGTAAAACAGCGATGGGCTCATACTTGCCATGACCACCAGGCATATGAAATATTTGAAATATTGAATAAGGCTCATATTTTCTATGGCCACCAGATGTATGACATATTTGGGTACTTTCCCATGACCACTAGTCATATGACATATATTAAGTATTAGGCTCATATTCCCATGACCACTAGGCATATGACAAATGTTAAGTATTATGCTCATATTCCCATGACCACTAGACATATGACATATGTGAAGTATTGTATTAGGCTCATATTCCCATGACCACTAGGCATATGACAAATGTGAAGTATTATGCTCATATTCCCATGACCACTAGGCATATGACATATGTGAAGTATTGTATTAGGCTCATATTCCCATGACCACTAGGCATATGACAAATGTGAAGTATTATATTAGGCTCATATTCCCATGACCACTAGGCATATGACATATGTGAAGTATTATGCTCATATTCCTATGACCACTAGGCATATGACATATGTGAAGTATTGTATTAGGCTCATATTCCCATGACTACTAGGCATATGACATATGTGAAGTATTGTATTAGGCTCATATTCCCATGACCACTAGGCATATGACATATGTGAAGTATTTTATTAGGCTCATATTCCCATGACTACTAGGCATATGACATATGTGAAGTATTGTATTAGGCTCATATTCCCATGACCACTAGGCATATGACATATGTGAAGTATTTTATTAGGCTCATATTTTTAACGACCACCAGGTGTATTCTATATTGAGTATAAGGTTTTAGACTGTTAATCTCCATAGCCTATAGACACATGACATACTAGGTTGATTATATTTTAAAATAACAGCTAACACAACATTTACCACATGGAAGGATAGTTTGTGTCACTCAGTCAGTAGCATGTCCTAGCATGCTGAACCTTGCTCTCATAACAACCTTCCGGAAAAACTTTTTGATCACACGCAAGATGTCCTGCGTCTATACACCCATCTAAAGATCATCCTCCACATCCGGCAACCATCTTCTCTTTGGCTTCCTCTTCCTCTCTTCCCAGGCATATATCCCTCCATTATTATTCTCTGAACTTTTGTGACATTTCTAGTGACTAAAGTATTTCAGTTTTGTGTACCAAAACAAATATAATAACTATTTTTGGCCAACTTTATGCTACTCTTCTCACAAGTGGACCCTTACTGCAAAAAATGGGTACAAGATGATAACAACAGACATAGATGTCATAGATGAGCTGCCCTTACTGCAATAAATAAGTACAAGATGATAACAACAGACATAGATGTCATAGATGAGCTGCCCTTACTGCAATAAATAAGTACAAGATGATAACAACAGACATGGATGTCTTAGATGAGCTGCCCTTACTGCAATAAATAAGTACAAGATGATAACAACAGACATAGATGTCATAGATGAGCTGCCCTTACTGCAATAAATAAGTACAAGATGATAACAACAGACATGGATGTCTTAGATGAGCTGCCCTTACTGCAATAAATAAGTACAAGATGATAACAACAGACATGGATGTCTTAGATGAGCTGCCCTTACTGCAATAAATAAGTACAAGATGATAACAACAGACATAGATGTCATAGATGAGCTGCCCTTACTGCAATAAATAAGTACAAGATGATAACAACAGACATGGATGTCTTAGATGAGCTGCCCTTACTGCAATAAATAAGTACAAGATGATAACAACAGACATAGATGTCATAGATGAGCTGCCCTTACTGCAATAAATAAGTACAAGATGATAACAACAGACATGGATGTCTTAGATGAGCTGCCCTTACTGCAATAAATAAGTACAAGATGATAACAACAGACATGGATGTCTTAGATGAGCTGCCCTTACTGCAATAAATAAGTACAAGATGATAACAACAGACATGGATGTCATAGATGAGCTGCCCTTACTGCAATAAATAAGTACAAGATGATAACAACAGACATAGATGTCATAGATGAGCTGCCCTTACTGCAATAAATAAGTACAAGATGATAACAACAGACATGGATGTCTTAGATGAGCAGCCTTAGTAATAAAAAGAAACAGAATTTAAAATTTAGACATTGGAAGATTAGGATTAAAACCAGTAGTACATTTTATTAAAGAGCAACAGGTGAAATCGTTTGGTCATCTGATGAGAATATCGCCACACTGAAAAATATAATGAACACAGATCAAGGAGAATACCACGTAAAAGTCAAAGCAACAGCACTAAGAAAACAGTTGGCTGTTTTGGTTTTACTAGGCACATTTTACACTCACTAGTATGCCATTGCTTGCTAAACAGTCAGCTGTCAGTACCACTGTCGAAACCAACGCATGACAAACCGTCTGCAGCTGGGATCCACCCTCAGGCATTACAAAGCGCGTAGGCCACAGATGCCGACACAATAAGAAAAGCCTTGAAAAAATTACAATCAGCTTATACAACTTATTAGAAAGAAAACTCTGATGATCTTCACATTCTCCCTTCCCCACCCCATCCCTTTAACACTACGATGAGGTAAATGAAACAGAATGTTTACTGCCTGCTCATTTACCTTTATATTATTATAATTTCTTCATTGTGTTAACTTTCATTCATCATGTGCATACATTGTTTAATCTTGACAACTTTCAGGTGTGGAAAATCATTTCTGGGCAATGTCTGCGCAAGTTTGAGAAAGCCCACACCAAGGGAGTGACCTGTGTGAACTTTGCCAGGGACAACAGTCAGCTGCTCAGTGCTTCCTTTGATCAGACTATCAGGTATACAAATACTCACTTTCTCAGGGAAAGCAGCTACAGATTCTCCTTCACCTATGACAGGTCATCAGTCGAACTGGTCATAAGTGGAGTTTATATTATACTTGTCTATCAGGCTGTCTAATTATGATCTCTTATAATGGCTCAGAGAGAACATTCTGGATAATGGTCCCTGGCTGCACTAAAGGGACAGAATATTCAATATTTACTGGAAAAGACACATGTGATCAGTTATTGATGAAGATTTTTCGGCACATCTCTTGGGAAGGTTAATTAAAAACTTAAAGATATACAGTAAAATGATATAGCTCCCATGTCTGGTTGAGCTGTCAGTGGGTTAAAATCTCCAAGAAGTATAATCCTTTTTCCTCAGCTAAAAAAATTAATCCATCAAATAGTCTGAAAGTTAGGTCAGTGTAGCTGTTTTCAAGGTAGATCACTATACTGTTTCTAGGATTGAAAGTTAATTTACTATACTGTATCTGAGGCTGTTGTTAACGTATTGAGAATTCGCTGTTGTTTGTTTTGCAGAATTCACGGCATGAAATCAGGAAAGACACTGAAAGAATTCCGAGGCCATACCTCCTTTGTAAACGATGCTATTTTTACTCCAGATGGCCATCACATTATAAGGTATTGGATAAATTGTTTCTTTTGTTGCCTTTCAGTTCCCAATGAAGCATAGGCCCTCAACCAACTCATGTTGACCCCCCTGAAGACCTGTTCATTACTGACGTTCCTTGTAGCATGTGGTAGGCAACACTTGAGAGGTTCCAGGTTGTTAGCATTCTTTCTATCTTTTCCTCGGTGTATGCAGAAGTAGGAAATCAACAGGCAGACATTGGATTTGTGTGTGTGATCTGGAGGGAATGATGTAGCTAGGGGTGACCAGGGGGTCAAGGTCGACAATCTACACTCAGAGGAAAGACAAGATGGACATATTATCAATCAGACTGCTGCTGGAACTAAAACTCTTTGCTGACTGCTGAAGAGGAGGATGAATTGCTTGTGGGAATGTCCCAAATGCTGTGATGTCGATTCTTAGCTCAGCGCTCAAAATGGATTGGATTTTGCAGTAAGGTTTTCCACTGGGTGAGGCAGCCGGTCTCAAACCAGCCCTTCTTAGTGACCTCTCACCACATCCATAGAAGGTTACATACAGTGTTACTGTCCTTCCTAACCCTCCCCCCCCTCCCCAATTCTCTTCGCGTTGTGTGTTTTGGTCTGCCTTTATTACTTTGACCCTGTGGGTTCCAATGCAAGGATATTATGATTATATTTTTAGCAGATATTCAGTCCTGTGTACTATCCACTTCATCATCTTTTCCTCATCTCTTGATTTACTGGCATTTATTAGTTCTCTCCCAGAGCTCCACATTAGTGATAATGCTGTACCATTTACCTACAAGCCTTGATTTTCCAAATTAAATCGTCAATTTAAAAAAAAGCCCCACTGATACTGAGGATTCAAACACACCAAACACATGATGGTAGGCACGTACGCTAATCACAGAGCTACTGTAGCTTAACATTTTCATATATTGTAGCTGCTAAAAAAACCAAGAAGAGATACAATTATAAATGAATAAACGAGAGCATTGGGACTGAAACCACTCGTACAGTTCATTAAAGAGGAATAGATACGATGGTTTAGCAATCTAACAAGAATGATCTGGTACCATCTGCCACAGCGAGCCACAATAAGGAGTGATGACATCAAGATCAGCCTTAAAGATATAAAGATCAGTTTATTGCATCACATTAGAAAGAGGATACAGCAAATCTTTGTGTCCCCACTCCAACACTTGTGTTGTGTAGTATCTGGAGAAAGAGAAGAAAAAGGCATATTGTAGACTTTAGTTATGAACTGTCTGTTTGCCATCTCAGGGCTATTTGAGGGTCTTGACACCCCCTGCTGCAGCCCAGAGGTCACATCCTGGATATCTGTCACAACAGGGCAGTTCCCTGATACCCTGTTCAACCTTTTAAGAGGTTACAATTAAAAATAAAATTATACACTATCTCCACAGAGAATGTTGGCTACAGTGTACCATACCTGCGATAATTGAAGAATATCATGTATCTTTCAAAATGGGACTCTCATATTGCAGTCCGAAAACCTGAGACACTTTATATTTATAATTAAGACACCTGTACCCTGCTAGCATAGGTGGATAAGGTGGTTATGAAATAATTCTTATATTAAACAATTACTTTTTTTTTCATAGTGCCAGCTCAGATGGAACAATCAAAGTGTGGAGTGTGAAGACAACAGAATGCCAGAACACGTTCAAGTCTCTGGGAAGTGTCTCTGGTGGGGACACCACAGTGCATAGCGTCTTCATTCTGCCCCGAAATGCTGAACAGTTTGTGGTGTGCAACAGGTCCAATACAGTGGTCATCATGAACTTCCAGGGACAGGTTAGTGTTAGCAGCAGTTTGTAGCCAGTTAAAGACACCCCAGTTTTAAAGACACCCCCGTTTGTGGTCAGTTAATGGTCTCAGAGTTTGTGGTTTTAAAGAAAACACACACTCCAGTTTATGGTCAGTTAAAGATACCCCAGTTTGTGGCCATTCAAAGACACCCCAGTTGTGGTCAGTTAATGACAGCCCCAGTTTGTAGTCAGTTCAAGATCCCCCAGTTTATGGTCAGTTCAAGAACCCCAAGTTTGTGGTCAGTTCAAGAACCCCCAGTTTGTGGTCAGTTAAAGACACCCCAGTTTAGGGTCAGTTCAAGATCCCCTAGTTTGTGTGGTTTGTGGTGACTTAATGATCTCCCAACCAGCCCAAGCATATTTTGGCTGTTTTGGTTTCAACCAGCAAATGTTCAGTAGTTTGCCATTGCTTTCTGAACAGTTGGTTTGTCATTTGTGTTCCTAACAATCAGCTCTTAATAACACTGTCGAAACCAACATAAGGCGGTCTGCTGACAAAATGCTGGCAGCTGTGTTTTAACCAACCGAGTCCTATTCAGTATGTTACTTGATAACCTTGCTGACAACATACTGTATCATACTTTCCTGAAATATTGTTTCCCAATTGTTTTATCACTTTCTTTGTGACAGATTGTGAGGAGTTTCTCCAGCGGTAAAAGAGAAGGTGGAGATTTTGTGTGTGCAGTTTTGTCGCCGCGTGGAGAATGGATCTACTGTGTGGGTGAGGACAAGGTGCTCTACTGTTTCAGTGTTGCCACTGGCAAGCTGGAGAGAACCCTGACGGTAGGTATCTTTCTATCTTAGAAATACATTTGTTACAAGCTCATTATTTAGAGCAAATTTTCTGTGTCTAGGCTATGAGGGAAATTTATCTTGGCTGGCATCAAAACTGTTTCAAGCAGTGGAAGATTTGTTCATGGTTGGATTAATTTTGCAGCTGTTGGATGGGTAGTCAGCCACAGAGTTAAAAGAGAAAGAGCAAGATAGAGAGAAACATGGAAAGCAAGAATAAGACAGAGAGAGTAGAGAGAGAGACAGAGTAGAGAGAGAGAGGGAGGGGGAGAATTGGAAAAGAAAAACAGATCCAGACAAAATGTGACTAGCAAGGAAGTTCTTTTCATCGCCCAGTGCCATTTTTCAGATTAAAGATCAGCTGCAGTGAGTTTCTATCATTTCTGACATTCCATTCCTTTTCATCATCCATGTAATCACATTCCCAAATCCCTAGTTTTACATTCATTCACACATAATTGCAGTTTGACAGATCATCTTCATTGCACCATTCAGTCCATCTCCTCCACCTGGCTTGGTGTGTGTTGAGCTACGACACTGGTTCTTCATTGCTGCGTGTATGCTAATATTCTGCCTACAGTATCCTATGTGATCTGCTGCTATCCTTCTCTAGGTTTTGTTTGGGCATCGATGTCTTCTTTTTTTCTCTGACACCCGAGAGCTGTTCTTGTCATGACACATCTCCATCTTCTTTTCCTCCTAGTTCATTTGTGATCTTAGTTGGCTAAAATATTTGCATGAGTCTCCTTAGTATATTTACTATCTTCATTTGCAGGCTAGTCAAGGTTTAACCCTACCAGACCTGAGGCCCTAAACCTAACTGCCACCTGAGCTTCTGGGCATTAATGAGAAAAACCAACATGATATTAGTTACAAGCAAACAAGTGGCTAGAATAATATGAAACTTGTAGATATTGTAGAAAATAGGTTAATTTTTTATCTAGCGCCAATATTCCACCTTTGTGTGCTAATCCACCCAGCAGGATCAACCTTGTTTCACAAAGTGAACACCAGATGTTGCTGTTGAGGGACACTTACTCCCCCTTCTTCAACTATCGATCTATTTCTAGATTTATAATTTTCAAGATTCTCCTCATCATTCGAGCTGACTGTGTCACTTCAACTGGGAACGTATTCTTCATGAAATTATGACTTTGCAGAGTCTGAATCAAAGTATCGATCACCTGTTGGACTGTGAAAAACCTACTTCACTTTCCTGTCGAAGTGTTCGGTTCATCAGCCGCTCGTTCTCAGTGTGAATTTTCAGAATTTTTTTACACAAAAACACATGCGGGCAGACATCTAGGATGACTATCCACGAGGTCTGATTACGATTGGCTAGTTATTTTTAGTTTATGACGCATTGTTTTCTCATAGTACACAAATTCCCGACATTGAGGGACAGCGGTTTAGCGGCAGATTAGAAAATAGCGGGCCAGCGGCCTAATAATCACTTCATCATTTGTAGTTGTCATGCTGTAATGAACTTTCCCTGTATTCAACAGGTTCATGAGAAGGACGTGATCGGCATAGCCCATCACCCACACCAGAATCTCATAGCCACCTACTCAGAAGACGGTCTCCTTAAACTGTGGAAACCTTAAACAAATAAATTCCTTTGCATGTGTGTATCTTTTTTAACCATCAGAAATTTTGGGAAGAATGTCATTTTTTTTAAAATTTGTACATCATTTTCTCTAATAGTTAATTTTCATTTTTGTTTGTTAGCAAGTATAGTTGTGTTCCTTAAATATCAAAGATTTTTCGGGGGGGGGGGGGGGGGGGTGGATTTTCAAATGCTGTTTAATTAATGTTCTTTGTTATCAGAAATCTTATGTTTTAGGCATTAAACAAAATCTGATGTGGAATAAAATAAATCCATTAAACAAATATCAGTTGTGACTTTGGTGTCTGTAGTGCAGTGAGTGATTGGATGCTTTACAATGGACCCTAGAAAAGAAATAAAGATACAAACAACTTTTACAACATATCTTGAAGACTCATCTGATGAGGTAACTGGACGCTCAGAAAAAGCAGAATCGCTAGGACAGAGAATAAATGAAGTTAGTCCAGGCACATACATAATTTCTGTCATTTATTATCACTTTGTCAGCATAAGATTTTATTTTATATATAAATTGTGAGTTGTGTTTTGTTTCTGATGAAGGCTTATCACTGCAATGTCCTGTTTGTTCATTGTAAATGGTTTTGTACTTTGTTTTTCTCACCCTTTTCTATCTTTTCTTTTTTTTTTATTTTTTTTTTTAGAATTTGTATCTGAATCTGGCATTAGTTTTAATTTCCTTTTGCCTTCCACTAATTGATTTTTATTCATATTATTTGTCTACCTAGCTATCCTCTCCAACTTTATATTGCCGTCAAAATAGCTGTATAATAATCTATTACCCTTAGAAGGGCTTTTTGCAAATTGTGTTGTAGTTTACATCTTTTTTACATCTTCTGCCTTGAAACAGAACCCGGGAGGAATAATTTGCAATCCATTGCACGCTAGCTTAGAAAAAAAAAAGGCCATGAGTATGTAAAGTTTTCTTAAATGTTGTCGATGCACGTTAATCGTGGTCATCCTCTTGCTCTTGTAGCTGATCTTCTGAGATGTATTGCCTGTGATGGTATCTGATGCTGCTGAAATGTTAACTACACTAACAGTTAAAAACACGAAAGTAACTAAAAGCATTGAAGCATTCGGTTTCTGTAGTTTTGTTTAATTAGTAAAACTGCATGCCGAGGGTTCGGTTCAGAGTCCATGAATTAGTTTTGTCACTAGCTACACTTGAGATTAAAATACAAGTATGAAAACAGATGAGGAAAAAACTGACGTATGCTGCGGACACCTGCATATATACAGTGCGCTAAACCAAAACAAAAAAAGAACGCACATCAGTTTGTTTAAAAAAAAAAAAAATAACACTTCTATTTCAGTATCAACTTCAGAATGCTAAAAGACATTCAAATTTAACAGTGTAAAATTCCAGGAATAGCAAAGAAAATCTATCACACAAACTGTGTTTTATTTTAATAATGATAAAAAGAAACGGCAGTTGAACAAAAATATTCAAATGACCATGCTTGTAGTTTTGCGTGACTATATTTCCCCACAAATGAGTAAACACAAATACCAAATGTGTCTCCAAAGTTAAGGAACCCTTAAAAAAATGGTTTGGGGCGAGCTGGGAGAAGGGTTTAGTTATTGCACAATAATTAACGTTTGCATAATGTGAGAAAAATGTGTAAAAACAGTATAGAAACATCTAGATATATTAAACATGAAAGTTGGTAACGCTTGAGAAAAGGTACACCTAGCAACAAGTAATGTTAAAAATAGCAAGTGATGAGACAAAATGTCAGTGGATTAAGGTAGGAAAGAGAGAAGAATGAAGTATTTTGTATATTAACAGTGATGCCACACATTAACCATGGCTACCTAATGCCACACATTAGTCATGGGTAACTGTGATACCACACATTAGTCATGGGTACCTAATGCCACACTTTAGTCATGGGTAACTGTGATACCACACATTAGTCATGGGTAACTGTGATACCACACATTAGTCATGGGTAACTGTGATACCACACATTAGTCATGGGTAACTGTGATACCACACATTACTCATGGGTAACTGATGCCACACATTAGTCATGGGTAACTGATGCCACACATTAGTCATGGGTAATGGTGATGTCACACATTAGTCATGGGTAATGGTGATGTCACACATTAGTCATGGGTAATGGTGATGTCACACGTTTGTCATGGGTAACTGATACCACACATTAGTCATGGGTAACTGATGCCACACAGTCATGGGTAACTGTGATATCACACATTAGTCATGGGTAACTGTGATACCACACATTAGTCATGGGTAACTGTGATACCACACATTAGTCATGGGTAACTGTGATACCACACATTAGTCATGGGTAAGTGATACCACACATTAGTCATGGGTAACTGTGATACCACACATTAGTCATGGGTAACAGTGATATCACACATTAGTCATGGGTAACAGTGATACCACACATTAGGCATGGGTAACAGTGATACCACACATTAGGCATGGGTAACTGATGCCACACATTAGTCATGGGTAACTGATATCACACATTAGTCATCGGTAACTGATACCACACATTAGTCATGGGTAACAGTGATACCACACATTAGTCATGGGTAACTGATACCACACATTAGTCATGGGTAACTGATGCCACACATTAGTCATAGGTAACTGATGCCACACATTAGTCATGGGTAACTGATGCCACACATTAGTCATAGGTAACAGCGATGCCACACATTAGTCATGGGTAACAGTGATACCACACATTAGTCATGGGTAACAGTGATGCCACACATTAGTCATGGGTAACTGATGCAGTACACTACTGGTAATTGGAAATAGTGACATCACATTTTATTAGTTATGCATAACTGTGATACCACACATTAGTGATCAGTAACTGTGATACTGCACATTAATGATCAGTAACTGTGACACCACACATTAAAGATCAGTAACTGTGATACCACATATTAGTGACCAGTAACAATAATACCACAATTGTTAGTGAGAGAAGATGCGATTTGGATGTTGCTATCACACCCAGGAAAAATCTGCTACCACTGCTAGACTCAGACGCTTTCAGTATCTCACAGCTGAACTGTCTTGTACACTCACAAACCGCAACAAAGTGGGATACTACAACCCGCATGTAGTCGATGAAGTCCCAACCCGCATGTAGTCGATGAAGTCCCAAAATCCCTTCTTTCTAGACGAAAACTGTTAATTTCTTCTTCTTCTTCGTGTTTATCGGCTGAAAACTCCAGTGGAAAGTCCTGACTGCTTGTCCATTTCTGGACTTTAGTTTCGTTCCAGACCAAGAGTCTTGAATGCACACCTGTTTTACAGATCAGGCTTATTTGCAGACCATTGGGTCCTCGCCTTTATGCACCCCGACTTCAAAGGGAACACCCAAAATTAGTTGCCTTTTTAGGGGGAGCAGTGGGTCAGGGGAAGCAGTGGGTCGATTCCCTTCCTCTCTGAAATGTGCCTCTGAAACCCACACATGGAAAACCTAATTTAAAAGAAGCTTATCTGACACATAGTTATATGAAGATGACGACGACCAAGGACAGTGAGCAGTTTATCTTCTAACATTCTACATGAGATATCCTGGCTGAGACAGCTGACTTCTGGACTACAGTTACACTGAACATCGCAAGGTGTGTAGTTATATACATGCAGCATGCATTAACAAATCACGCATTGTTTAACCAAGTTGAAAAAAAAAAATTAATGCCACAACCATTAGTTTATAGAAACAGGTGAAGTAAAAACAGTGCGGAAAAAGCAATTTAAGTTACAGTGGTGATGAAGAAGAATATTACAAATATGATAGTAAAATAAAGTAACGACGACGATGAAGAAGAATACTACTTCTTCAGCATTTAGAGCCCTGGAGGTTTACTACTGCAGATATCATCAGCCTCTGTTCAGCTCTGTGACTGATCCTTCTTTACAGTTGGTGACCTCCAGTGTTTGTCTGCCTGGATATTACCTCTTCACCACCTTCTTGGTCTGCCTCGTGGTCTAAGGTCATGCAATGCCCTTCTGTCCAGTTTTTTGGCCCCCCCCCCCCCTTCCCTCCAGTCCCTCAGTGCCCTAACTACTTTAGTTTATTAGCCCTCATGCTGAATGTTACACATGAAGGTAGAATAAAGTTACGGTCATGAATCATACACAGACTGTATTTAAAGAAAAAAAGTCATGATGAAGAGAATATTGCACATATTATATTACAATAAAGTAACACAGGTGAAGTAAAAAGTTACAACGATGATGAAGAAGAAGATTATACAGATGACAGAAAAATAAAGTTACAATGCGGATTAATGAAAGTTTCATACCGATGATATTAAAATAAAAGCCACAGTGACAATTTCAAACATTAGTGATGTTAAAAGAGAAAATATTTTGTGATGACATTAAAATAAAGTTAAAATAATGATTGAAAAAGCTAGCTTTATTATTAAAAGGAATATTTCCCAGATATTAAAATGAGATTCCAGTGATGTTTAAAAAAAAATGTAGTTACGCTGTAAAAAAAAAAAAGGGTTACATTTAAGATTAACAAAACATTCTAGTTTTGATATAAAGAAAAACGTTAAAGATATTATTTAAAACAAAAATGTGTGTTTCTTCACAGTAACCATATTATATTATTATTATAAATAGTTTAACCAAAACAATTCCAGTGATGATCTTAAAAAAAAAAAAAAAAAAAAGAGGGAAGGGGAAACACAGTGATAATTTTAAATGGTCAAGTGCTTTTATAGAATTAAATTTGTAAAAATAATGAATTAATTGAAAATGAAGTGTGCTACAGGCAAACAGAATGAACAATCAGGGATGAAAACACGCGTCCAATATTGAGATCCGCCTGGTGAGTCCACACTGGCAAGTACAAAAAAAAAAACATAACTAGCAATGGCACTTCAAAATATCCAAATTTGCATTCTGATGACAGTGACCTCAACTGAAGTACAATAAAATGTAGATACAGAACAAGGAGTCAT